AAAAACTCACAGGAATTTGATATAAAAGTTAAAAACTGAACTTGTAAACTCTGGAACAGAGATGATGTGGGTTAGAATTTCTTGTAGATGTCTCTCTTTCTATTTAGGAACTTGTCTGCTAAGATATGATGGTAGGCAGTGCCTGGGGCTCAATTAAAAACCTTGCTTGGTAGCAGAGAAAAATGTGTTCTCCCATTACTTAATTAGGAACATCCTGGAATCTTCGTTAGAGGTATTTTTAATTGATCCTGATCTGGATATTCTTATCCAGCTCCAGTTTAGGAATCTCAAGAGGATGAGGAAGAGATTTTTTTTATGTTTTTATTTTTTTTTCTATGCCTTTCTCTGGTTTTATTTTTAAATTTCTTTTTAAAACTTTATTTTGGAATGATGTAATTTAATTTTATTTTGGCTTGACTTGATGCTTGTAGTTCAATATGAAGGTTTAGGAGTCAGGATGTTAAAAGAGTCATGGTGTTAAAGCCATCAAAATTAAGGAGAATGCTGCTGCTTTATCTTTAATTGCTGCTGCTTATAAAGCATTCAAGTGATGGATAACCTGGAATTATGTCAGGGAGAGGGTTTCTGATGCTCTGGGATTCATTTCACTCCCAGACATTTGGGCATGAGCACTGGGAGAGCTCTGAGGAAGGCAGGAGAGAACATTCCTTAAAGGTGGAATTTAAGGAATCAAGGGTGGCTTTTTCCCTTTGCCTCTTTTGCCAAGTCTGAATGCAAAACCAGCCTGGCTGGGGAATATTTTTGAGAGAAACATCCCCTTTTCCTTGCTGTCTTTCCCCAGCCACCATCTACGCCCCGAGGAGGAAGGGGCAGCTCTCAGCTGACATCTGCATGGAGACCATCGGCGAGGAGATCTCGGAGCTGCGCCAGGTCAGGAAAGGGGTGTTCCAGAGGGTCGTGGCCATCTTCATCCACTACTGTGATGTCAATGGGGAGCCCGTGGAGGATGACTACATCTGAGGGGTGCCCCCCAACCTGCCCTCCCTCCCCCTGGCACTGCTGGCCAAGAAAAAGCAGGATTTATTTTTATTTTTTTTTTTTTTTTTTTCCAAATGCAAAGCATTTCCCACCAAGGCACCCTCGGCTCTCCCTGTGTGGCCAGGAGGATGTAGTTAAATGTAAAATGGAAAGTACAAATTGTATACTAAGAGTTGTACATAGAGGAAACAAAAAACAAAAACAAGACTTCCTAATACTGAGACTTTATTTCATATGTTTATACAATTTAATTTAAGATCCATTTTAATGAAGGCCAATAATTGGGAATGGGGAAGAAGATTTGAACTTTTCAGCCCATACAATTCATAGCAGTATTTTCTTTTCTCCTTCTAAACAACAATTCCATTTGCTGTGTTCAAAAAGAGTCATCAGAGTCTCTTTTAATCTGTGCCTTTTTCTTGAGCATTTAAGAGTCCAGTCTGAGTAAACCTGTTGAGCACAATCTTGGTGTCTTGTGTGCATTTCTGGAAGGGTCAGAATATTCTCCAGCTGTTGCAAAGAAGGCCAGAAGCAGAAAAAAAAAAAAAATAAAGTAGAGAATTTGGTGATCTGTGGTAGTTTCTAGAGGTATTCAACCCATTTTTGGGGGCAAAGGAAGCCCCCATGTTTAGCACCTTGGAAACAGAATGTTCTCAAGCATTTTGTACTGTTAGATTTCATTTTCGTGGTGTATTTGACTCTGTACTATGGAAATCAAGTTGCTGATTGTTGGTTCCACCCTCTTGAACACAAACCTGCCCGTTCTAGCTGGCTGGAAGCTGAGAGCTTTCCCTTCAGGCAGGCAGAAAAGGGGATGTGGAGCTGCCTGGTGGCTGTGGCAGCGCAGGCTCCGTGTTGGGACACAGCCAGGGCGCTCTGGGGCTGGCTTGTGCTCACTCCTGGCTGCACATCTTCCACAAGGTCAGTAAAAACTGCTGCTATTTGCCCCAAAACGTGTGTGTGTTGTGTATTGAAAGGTGCTCCCGGTGCCCACAGGGTTTGGTGGGGATTTGCTGCCAGTGCAGGTGTAAAATTCACATTTTGGTGTTGCCCTCACAGGGTGCCCGGGGCTGGCAAAGGCCAATTCCCAGCTCTGGCCTGGTCTCTCATCCGTGCTTGTTTAAAATTGGTGTTACCAGCCTAGAAAATGACACTTCCTGAGGTAAAAGCTGTACAGTTTAGACCATTTTATCCAATTTTGTTCATCATCCTGATGGTGATTCTCTGAATTTGGGGTAAATGTGGTTAATGGGCATTTCCATCATGTTTAGCTCTGTAAAACTGAGGTAAAGCTGCTCCACACAGCAAAGCCAGTGTTGGTTTTCTCTGCCTCTCTGTGGGAATTCTTGGGTTAATGTGAAAGTAGGAATCCATGGGATATAGGAGGAAGAGAATGGTGCCTGAAGGGAGCATTTCCTCAGCCTTGCTCTGTGCTGACTGGAGGTGGAGCACTAAACACCAGAGAATGTGAATGTTACTAAATTTGCTTTAATGCAGGATCACAGTCAATGGTTTATTATAACTCTTGTATTTAATTAACCGTAGATAATGTATTCAATGATATTCAGCCAAAACAATTGTGACCCTTTCTAGAAGTGTTTCAAGTCCTCTGAATCATTGATTCTGTCAGATTTACCGTTTTAGTCCAGAAAATGTTACTGAGTTTCTGGAGTATTGCACCACTTCTCCAGCTGGTATCTCCTCACTCCAGCCTTTTGCAGAAGTATTTACACAAATAAAGTGTTTGTTTATATTCAGTATCTCTGGAATGAATTGATCCTTGCAGTAATTTTCACCTCTGAAATGTGACACCCATTTTACACCAGTGCCTGGATCCCCTGTGTCCATCTCCTGAGGGCTGGGGGAGGATCTGCCAGGGATTTGATCTTTTGGGTCTCAGCTTCCTCCTCTCTCTCCATTTCGTGGCTGTTTCAGGCACTTTTATTCACTCACCATGGCAAGGGAGGGTTTCCCAGATGTTTCTGTGGCAGGTTTCTGTTCCCTCTGTGCCTGGAGCGTGGCAGGAGGAGCAGCTGCTGTCCCTGCAGGCGAGGGGACAGTGATCCTGCTCTTCCTGCAGCACAGGGAATTCCAGCTGCACCTCTCAGCTCTGGGGGGACAAACTGGGATCCATTCACACCCCCTGAAAACGGGGATATTCACATCTGGGTACCAGGGGAAGCTTGGCTGGAGTTCAAAGCCTGGCAAACATTTAACCTGCAAAGTAAGGAAATGATGAAGGAAGCTGTGATTGCATCACCTCTGTGCCCTGCTTCCCTCCTAGATGTGGCTTTGGGGAAAACATCAAACAGGAATTTCTTCCCTGGGTCAGCTCTGACTCAGCAACACCGGGTAAGCAAAATCTTGGTTGGATTTCTGTCCCTCTGTGCAGGTGCAGTCACTGAGGAGAAATGAGCACTTCCAGGTCCAGGTCAGCTGCAAAAGGCAGGTGGGGATGCCACTGATGGATTGGGAATGAGTCTGAGATGACTTTGACACTGCTTTTCCCACAGCTCCTGGAGGAGGATGCAGAGATCCCAGCTGGGAGAGGCTCAGGTGCCTGGGAAAGGTCATCTAAATAGTAGAGAAGGTGATGAGAGAAAGGCCAGGGTGAGTGTGGGCACAGCAGAGGGGGCTCGGCCTCGTGTTGGCTTTTCCCTCCCATCTGGGAAGGCAAAATCGCTGCTTGGCTTGCAAAAAGGAAAGGATTTTGGAAGTGTTTCTGTTTGAGGAGAAGCTGTAAGGAGTTGATGGTGACAGGGTTCAGGGATGGCTCAGGATGTGGAGAAAAAAGGGGATCCTAAGCTGGGGAAGGGTTCCCAGCTGCCAGGTTCGGGATGGAAATGCTCTCCTTGGCTTCAGCATTGCCAGAGCTGGGTGGGAATGCCTCAGGCTGCCTGTGTGGGCTGCCTGCTCCCAAACCAACACTTGGCTGGAGCTGCTCCCTGCTTTTCATCTGTGCTGGGAATGAGATGGACACGATCTGGGCCCCATTGGTTGGTTCTGTGCACCTTATTAAGTCAGGCTGACACAAATAAGTGCCTTAAATACCTTCTGATTCTCCCTCTTGCTGAGCAGAGCCGGTTGGGAGTGAATTCCACCCTGAAAGCCACGACCTTGGGCTGAGATGAGCTTTAGGCTGAAGATCCCTGTTAGTAATCCCTGAATTGAGAGTTTTGGAAATGCAGAAATAGCATTTATGTAGCTGATACAGTACTGCTGATGGTTCCCAGAGCTCTGGATCCCAGCAGGGGACAGGAGGAGCAGGTGAGGTAAAATCAAAGCCATTTGGAGTCAGAGACAAGGTGAGCATCGTTCACCCCTCAGCTCTGCCTCGTGTGCAGGTTTTCAGTGACACATTCCCAGTGTCCTTTGGTGGAACAGACACCCCTGGAGGAGCAGAGCTGGCCAAAGAAATGTCTCTGGAGCAAGGGATTCACTCTGCCCAACATCCCAGTGACCCTTGGCTGTCATTTCTCACATGAATCCGTTTGGATGGCTCTGATCCCACCAGCAGCTCCACAGGGACCTGGGAATCCTCCAGGGAAGGGGCCAGGACAAGGTGGGGGCTCCTGGACTGCAAATAAATCCTGAATGGGAACGAATGAAGCTGAAGAGGGCAGAATTCCTGTGGGCAGGGGGACAGTCAGGAGCAGGGCAGGGCCTGTCCCCTGTGCTGGCTCTGCTGGGGGACCTCGAGGGGCCCAGTTCTGTGTCCTCAGTGAGGAGGGACCTGCAGGGGCTGGAGCCAGGGAACAGAGCTGGGAAGGGGCTGGAGCAGCTGAGGGAGCTGGGAAGGGGCTCAGCCTGGAGAAAAGGAGCTCAGGGGGGCTCTGCACAACTCCCTGGGCAGTTCCAGTGCCTGAGCTCCCTTTCCATGGGGAAATTCCTGCTGCTGTCCACCCTGAGCCTCCCCTGGCCCAGCCTGAGGCCGTTCCCTCTCCTCCTGTCCCTGTTCCCTGGGAGCAGATCCCAAATCCCACCTGGCTGTCCCCTCCTGGCAGTGTTCCAGCTCCTGGGGCTCCCGTGGGGAGGTGGAACCTGCTCCCAGACTGGGGTTTGAGTGCAAACAGCACCAGAAACGAGCCCAAGCTGGAGTTCACTGCCATGTCCAGAGAGTTTTTATTTTTAGGAGCAGCCACTGCACCACACATCACTGAGCACAGGCCAGGGCTGGCACCACCAGCCAAGATGGGCAAAAAGCTGCACTGGGAAATCCAGATGGGACCTTCCCATCTTTTCCAGGGAAATTCTGCTGCTGTTGATGGCCCAGTGGCAGTGCTGGGCTGGCAGGAGCTGTGCTGGGATTATTGTTGGATTAACAGGAGCTGCCAGGTTTGCTGAGCCAGGGAGGGATGAGAGGTGACACAGGACACGGACATTTCGTGTTTGGAATTTCATCCAGATGGAAGAGGAGCCTTTTCCCAGTGAGAGCTGTTGACCATTTTGGCTGGTGAGCCACTGCTCCCACTGACAGAACCTTGGGAATGTTGTCCCTGGGGAGTTTATTTTAAATTCAAGAAACTGGGAGTTTATTTTAAATTCAAGAGAACTTTTCCTAATGCACATAAAAGTAAAGGAGAAAACAATGCCTGAAGGACAAAGCAGAACCAAAGAACCTTTCCCTGTGGCTTCCCCGTGCTGCTGGTTCCATCTCACTCCAGGAAATTTCACACCAAGATTTTGTTGCCCTTCAATGGGGACAGAGAAAAGTTTTTTTTTAGGATTTCTTTAAGAAATTTGACACTTGAGGTGGAGCTGAGCCAAGCTGTTCTGCAGCCTCGTGTGCCCAGGCCCCAACAAAACCCCTGTGGGCACTTCCACAGAGCAGGAGGATCAACAGCACTCAAGCAGCCCTGGATGGATTTTTTTCCAAACTTTCAAGAATGGATTTTTTTTCACTCACTGTTCTGGTATCAAGAGTGAAGTTAAATGAATTTTTTTTTGGAAATAAAAGCCTCTATAAAACAGGACATTGCCAACCAGGTCCCAGTGATGAACCAGGAGCACCTTCCACCACAAACACCAATAATTTGTGTCTCTCCAGCAGGCAGCAATTTTCTACCTCAGCCTTCCAACCGAGGCTGTTTCTGCCCAGTGTCCTTCTGAATCCTAAAGGAAAAGGATGTGAAGCTTTAGCAGTGACTTTGCTGTGGAAGAAATATTTAAAGAAGTCAGACACCATGGCCAGGAATCCACTTGTTCTTCTCATGCACAAAATTTCTCCAACTGAGCAATATTTTTGTTTGTTCCAAGCAGGATTTGTCTGTTTACAGTAAATACCTGTCACATAGCAACAGAAATATTACTAAATAATAATACATAGAATGTTAAGCTCCTTGGGCTAGAAGCTTTTAATGAAAAAAACACATGTTCCTGATAAAAAATAATAAATAATGTCAGCTTTTCTTTGTACATTAAAAATATCTGTACATGGTTACACGATATGACAAAGTACAATTTTATTTCCTAGGCTCAGGGTGGCATCTCTGGGGTAGATCTTCACCTAAAAAGGGTCGAGGCTCGTGGTCTTGATCCTGCATGAAAATCCTTTTCCCAAATTTGGGGAGTTTAGAGCCTTGCCCACCCTTTCCATGCAAAGGGAGAAGCAGCTCACGAGGAACGTGGCAACATCGACATGCAGAGAGCAGCTGAGGACTGAGATCTTTGCAAATGGTGAGACTGGAAAAGTCTGGAAAACTTCTTGCCTCAACTGGAAGAGACCAGCAACAAATAGAAAAATAAAGGTGGCAAAGGTAAGTAGAAGTCTCTCTTCCAAATGTAGCTAGAAAAGGGTTTAGATGGTTTGTTTTCCAAGATGGCACTTAGTGATCCATTACAGAGCGGCTCTGGCTCCTGGCCAAGCTTCCTGCAGCCTCAGGATGCCCCAGGTTTGCTCAGGGGAGGGATGGGGACAGCTCTGGGCTCCAGGGGACATCCCATCCTGGTGGGATCCCATCCCCAGGGAATGGCAGAGCACGGCCGTGGCTGGTCCCACTCCCTGCACATCCCTGGAATCCTCCTCGGCCAGGAAACACAGCCACAGCATTTCCAGAGCTCAGCAGGGTGGGTGAGGCAGCAGCTGGAACCAAACCACCCCCAGGGGCTGGAACCAAAGGGCAGCAGACATTTCCTCTTGTTCTCCTGGAGAAAACGTGGCACTGCTCCACTGACAGGGTCCGGTGTCCGGGCAGGAGCCAGCGGGGATGGGGCAGCTCAGTCCCACCCTGCTGGGCTTCAGCCACAGCTTGAGACCCCAGGACAGGGCTGAGCAGAGGGCAGCAGGAAAGGGGCAGCAGGAGTCCCTGCACAGGGTGGTTTGGAGCTGCTTTGTGTCCTGCCTTTGCCAGGAATCCCTCCCTGCTGGAGCAGGGCTCTGGCACAGCCGTGCTCCAGCTGCTCCTGCAGGGACAGGGACAGCAGGTCTGAGCCTCCCCGTGCTCCCAGCCAGCTCCCACGGCTGGACATTCCTGGGAATTCGCTGCAGGAGGCACCAAGACAATGCAGATGGATGGATTTTCAAGTCCTTCTGTCTGTGAATCCTTGGGATAGCCTAAAAGGTCTCTGCTCTTCCTCTTCTGGGCCCAGGACTAGAAACAGGACTCTTGGGACTCGGGGTCGGTGTGGATGGGAAGCTTCTCGTGTTCCTGGTGGTGCCCGTTGTGTAACACCTTGTACCTGGGAGAGGAACACAAACCTTCATCAGCACCAGCTCAAATGCCAAACCTATGGAAAATGAGATCCTGCAAACCCCAAAGTATATCTAAGAGAGTGACTCTTCCAGATACCCAGATCCCCCATTAAGAAGTGTGAATCCCTGCTTTGCTGTGTGACAGGAACTGAAATCTTCAGTTTGGAGCAGTCAAAGCAACCCCTGAGAAAGGAGAACCCGTTGGGTTCCAGGAGTCTGAGGTGAGCTGCTCTGCCTGGGCTGCTGATGCTCCTGCAGGAATTTCCCAGGCTGGCTCCCAGCATGGCCAGGACACTGAACGTGCAGACATTGCCCTCAAACATCCCTTGGAGAACTCCAGCACTTGAAATAAAGAGCAGGAATTTAAAAACGTGCCCTGGTGAGTGACAGATGGATGCCAGAGACAAGGAGAGACGTTTTGCACCTCGCACCGAACAGACTCCAACGAGACGGCCACGAGGGGATGACGGAGCTGGAATTGGGTGGAGAGAGTCAGACAGGGACACCGTGGGACACAATCCACCCGGGAGACCTCGGGGATGCTCCAGCCCGGGACACACAGGGCAGCAGCTCAGGATGATGGACAGGGAACATCCAAGGATCCAAACCTTCCTCCGTGTCTGCGGCCGGCCCAGAGTGGAGCAAGAGCAGCAAGAGCAGGCGGTGCCGACTGTTGGAGGTTCATTAATTAAAGAGGAGTCACTGAGGTGTCCCGGGATGTCCTGTGGCACAAAGTGTCTGTCTGAAGCCTCTGGCACTGAGTTCAACACTTCCAGCTGTTTACCCTGTGGGGAAAGAGGACTGGTAGGATGGGAGGGAAGAGCATTCCTGGCACAGGGAATGACAGCTCACGCTTGCTCAGGCACAGAATTCCTGAAACATTCCCAGCATCTCCAGGAGTCTGCTAAGGGTGTGCTCTGCTGCCAGGCTTTTCTGTTCCATGCGGGTTTTCCACACCCTTTTCCCTTCAAATCTAAGTTCAGAGCCGCCTGCCTGTTGTAGGGCAGCGATTTAGTATGGGATAAAAACTGGGATTTTCCAGCCCTGCTTTTGTTCTCACCCCGCTGTGCCTTCACTGATCTCCCTCTGAAAATACACTTCGTTTTTCTCAGGTGTTGGTAGCTGTGGGGAGCGAGCTCCAGAGAAAAGGCTCATCCCGAAATCCAGCTGCTTCCCCTGCAGGAACACAGCTGGTGTGCCTCAGCTCCCACCCCATGGATCTGCCCAGGATTTATCCTAAAATGCAAGGAGGAAACAGCACCGGGACCCTCCCTGTGTGGGCTGAAGGCTTCAGGAGAAAGCAGCCGGGTCGGTCAGAGAAATGAACACATCTGGGGAAGATGGAATATGTGTGCAGGGGGAAAAAACCCCGACATTCAAAGGGTTAAATGCGTTCAGTAAATTATCTACAGCAAATGAAATGAAATTGAAGAGGCCTTTTCCTGCCTCTGATGGGCTCCTCCCGTGGGATTTGTGCTCAGAGAGAATCCGGGGATGCCGCTGCCCTCTGCATCCTCCCGGAGTGGGGACGGTGTCGGTGTCACCTCCCCGGATCCCCCACAATAAATCCAAATATTGGGGAAGCTCTGCCCCTCCAGGGACCGCTGCAAACCCTCCCGTGGCCCTGGGCTTGTCCTGATGGGGACAGCCCGTGGGACTCTGGAATTCCAGATCAGCTCTGGAAGGGAACTCTGGGGTTCTGCCCTCCACAGGCTCCAGATTATTTGGGAATTTGGCAAATCCAAATGCTGCAATGTTGCCATCTGCACTCCCTGCAGAGCTGTCCCCCACACCAACCTGGACAATTTATGAGGAAAGCAAAGCCCAGCAATGTTTTGGTTTTGTTCAGTTCAACACTGCTTTTATCGGGGGACTGATCTCCCCACTGTGGTATTGACAATTTTGGGGAATTTTCACTGCCTGCATCTTCATTTTCTCCTTTTCCAGTTGCTGAAGCCCAACCTCAAATAAAACATTTTAAAACCCTTTTCTTCCTTCATCTATAACCAGAAACTCCCCCCAGGAACCAGCCACCATCCCACCTGGAATAGATATCCAAGGAAAAAGCAAGCAGGTCATGATGGCTCCCATTGTATCACAAATCTTTTGTTATTTGCAGGAGCACCCGGGAAAGATTTGCTGGGACCAGAGGAAAAACAAATGTAATTATGTACAATGGGATAAACTGGGAAGATTTGCATTTGGCTTGAGCAGAATCCCGTTTTTGATAATGTATTTTTATACCATTTTTCTCCTCAACCACCTAAAATAGTGGAATGTAGAAAAGGTTTTGAGGTAAAAAGTTGCCTGAAGCCACATTTTAAATGGAACTGAGCTTCCAAATTGAATGAAGGATTTACTGACAGTTGTGTTGCTCCACAATTTATCTTTCCCTGCATTTTCCTGTCTCTCCCAAAGTGATTTTCCTCTGGAATATTTGCAGCACCACTGCTGGAGCTTCACCCTCGATATCGAGTCCATTCCTCAAAGCCCTGCTGCTTTCACAGGGGCTCCCAAGAGCAAGAACAAAAACTGGTCTGGTCTGGGGGCTGTGGAGAACAATCACTTGGCAGAGGTTATTTTAATGAGCACAGCACTGAAATCAGCCTTGCACCATCTGCTCAGTTCCAGAATTATAAATTCTGAATTAGAAAACAAAAGAATTCACAAACCACTCTAAGAGTGAGGGGAAGGGAGAGCAGCTTCAGCTGATTTTTGTGATTTATCCCAGCCTGTGCTGGATCTGCTCTGCTCCATTCCTGGGTCAGGAAAAAAGAATCCTTTTTTATTTCTGTGTTTTATGGCAGCCACAAACCCCTGGAAGTGCAGGATGGGTCTGGGTGGCACCAGGAAAATTCCCAGAGATGGAATTCCAGCAGGGCAGGAATAAAACCTGAGCGGGATCTCCAGGACATCAGGAAGGTCCCCCGAAATTGTCCCCCCAGAAAGGCACTGCTGATATTTTTTGGGAAACTGGGAGATGCTGGGAAACAGAGAAGAGTCTCAGAGACAGCTGAGAAGAGTGTGACACAAAATTCAAGAATCTCTGGAATTCCCTATTTTAATCTCTGATGATTTTCCACTTTGAAAGAGCAAAATCCTCCAATCTGAACCACACCAAACGTGAGAATGAACAAAATGCATTGTTCCATTTCCATATCTTCTGAAGAAATGAATGCACAGAGGCCAAATCAAATGGAATTTCACAAAACATTTGCGTTTAATGCAGCTGCAGATGAAACTTCCAGAAATGAGAGCAGAATTATCCCTCTCTCAGCACTCCCAGGTTCACAGACACCTGAAAATTAAAAGCTTCCCAGTAACTGTAACCTCTGGGCTGAATTTGTCCTGTTCCCATCACTGCAGTGAAGTTCTGCACTTGGCCATCAGCATCAAATCATTAGAGCAGGGTAAGGATAAATTGAATTATCCCAATAGAGCCCAACAGTGAAAAGCCAGATCTTGGGAAAACGTTGGGATTGCTGAATTATTTACATGGCTCTGACAGCAATGTTGATTTTAGAGTCCTTTGTAGTCAAATCTAAACACAAATCTCTCTCTGTCTCATGACAAGTGTTTATTTTCCCACTCCTGAGCAGTTAAGCTGAATCTCTTAATTATCTTTAAATCAAATAATGCTGTTCCGACCTCGGGAGCTGAACTCAGCTCTCATCATTCTTTGCTAAATATCAGGCAGAGGTTTTGTAAAACATCTGTCTCCAGCCCACATCAGCCAGCTTTCAGTGCATTTTGTAGCATTTCTGCAGAAATACAGGTTTAAAATTAGCACTTCTCAGGTAAGCAAAGCCCTTGAATAAGAGAAACATAAAAAAAAGAAGATAAAGAAGAGATTTTTTTTTTTTTCCTTTTTTGTCCCTGACAAGTCTCAGGAAGCAAAGAAAGCATCTCCCAGTGTTTGTGTCTCTCCTTTTTTCCCTCATTGTTCCATCATCCCTCTTTTTTTCTGGCAAACCAAGACTAAGCCCCCTCCAGTCCCTTTATTTTTGTGTGGATCTGTGGATCTTTTTCAAGGAGGATGTTTAGAATTGCAGGCAAATAATAACCTGAAATAGGATCTTGAACTGAGATGTCCAAACCCTTCAGCATCTTGTTTCCTTTTGTTTTTCTCCTGCTGAATTTGTCCCAAATTTTGTTTCCCTGGGACTGCAGGTGCTCACTTCAAACCTTCCTTTTTTATTCTCTTTATTGCCAGGCTTCATTGATGAATTTCTGCATGGTCCTTTCCAATCCCCCTCACCAGAATCACTGAATTTGATAATTTTTCCCTTTTCCCACTCTCCTGCTTCCAGCTGCTCCACCTGAGGAATGTTTATCCTTATTTTCCACTGCAGGATGTTTTGCTCAGCTTCAGCTAAAACCCTTGGAATTTGGGCATTCTGAACACGATTTGGTGATGGAAATCAACAGATCCACACAGAAACCAAGAGGGTGGGGATGGCCCAGAGCTGCTGAGCTCTTCTCCTGTGGATTTGTGACATTTTAATGTTGCAGAAGTCGATGTTTCCACAACAGAAACAGCAACTTGGGCACCAAAGAAATCTCAAACTCAACGAGGAGCTCTTTGTTTGCAGTGAGTGAAATGCATTTGCTAATTATAAACCAGGGTAAACAAGTAAACAAATGAGAGAGGCCACTCAGGGGGATGTGGGGAAGAGGAGCCCTTTCCCCTTTTTCTCCCATTAACTCCCTATTTCCATTTCTCTCTCGTTAATATTAAGCTCAGCACTCCATTATAGGCTCTAATTAGCTCCAGATTTTGGCCTGCAGTTCGTTTTTGCGCCGTAATTAATGCAGCAGTCATCAGAGCCCCGAATCTGATAATGAGGAGAGCACTTGGAAGTGCTCAGACACATCAGAAACAAAGAGCAGCCCATTAAGAGCAGCTCACAGCCACCCCCAGATGGGATGGCTCAGAACAGGCTGCTGGGTTTAAGTGTTTCAATTAATGAAATACAAGCAGAATCAA